TGTAAAAATTTTGAGTAAAGTTACGCAAAAATGTGAACACTCGTGACTTGAGGCATTTTGAACCATATGCAGTATCAATTAAATTCCAAAATCATTAGGTCTCCTATACCCTCAGGCTCATATTCATATTACCATCATTTTCTACCATTTCCTATAAAGAGAAAATTCTCTATACCTTCAGGTTTGTTATAAAAACCTTTAGGATTCAAAAGGTACAAAAAGGAATTACCGTATTTGCTCTAGTAATCCCCCAGGGGGATTATTGTTTCAACCCATCTCTAGGGTGGGGGATTAATAGAGCAAATACGGTAATTCCTTTTTGTACCTTTTGAATCCTAAAGGTTTTTATAACAAACCTGAAGGTATAGAGAATTTTCTCTTTATAGGAAATGGTAGAAAATGATGGTAATATGAATATGAGCCTGAGGGTATAGGAGACCTAATGATTTTGGAATTTAATTGATACTGCATATGGTTCAAAATGCCTCAAGTCACGAGTGTTCACATTTTTGCGTAACTTTACTCAAAATTTTTACAATTTCCTTAACTTTACATAAATTGTATCTTCTTATGCTTAACTTTACATAAATTGTATCTTCTAACGCTTAACTTTGCACTTTTACCCCCAAAATCTGCATCCTCCGTTAATTAACTTTGCATGAATTATATCTTGTATTTCTTAAATTTGCACAAATTTTATCTTCAAACTCTTAGTTTACAGTAATTTATCTTCAATCATTTAAAGATACAGTAATTTTATAATCTGTCCTTAACAATACAACAATTTTATATAATAACTAATAATTTACATTAGAATAGTGTGCGTTTGTGTAAATGAATAGTGTGTGCACGCAGATATAGTGAGTGTTTATGAATATATTCACACAGAAATGTATGTGATACACCAATGTTCATAGCAATCCTCACACACGCCGACAATAAAAAAACACATTTTTTATAAATAACAATATAATCTTTGCAAATAGTAATATGTTTACACTACATGTCAATCTAACGAGGGTCAATACATAGTGTACACCACAGTTAGCACACTTCGCACACAAACAACCTCAGCACCACTCATGATTTATTTATTAATTTTACTGAAAATATGTGTTAATTCTATTTACTCTAAATAATTTATCCCTTTTAATCTTTAACTTTGCGAAATTTTACCTCAAACACTCAATTTTAAGTAAATATGTGTTTGTGTGCGTAAATCACTAAAGTTTCGCCAGAACTGGTGTTGCGTGCGTATTTTAGTATGTGTTTATCCATGAACAGATTACCGCATAAAGAGAAATTTCAATTTCCAAAACTCAAAGTTTACATGATGCTCGATTTAATGGTTTTGTGCTTTGAAAGTTGAATTTTTAAGATTTTTCAAGGTGTACATCTTCTTTAACCTTCCAGCATTCATCCTCGCACATGATCTGAATTGTAAGTATATTATAACCCTTAGCATTATGTCAATCTTTCCTTCATAATCTTTTTTACATTAATTACTAGTATTTTTTGTTTGGCACATCATTATAGAGTTGTGCTTTCAAATTAGTATATTCATAGTATTAATAGATATTAATTACATATTTACCCAATGGATATTCCCTTCAGGAAGGTTTGCGAAAATGCAGATATTTTTTAAATTTTCTAATAAATATTTGTTATTTCTCTTAACTTTATTTGAATACTATTTTCTGAGGTTTAACTTTACATCAGTTTTATCTTTTGATCCTTAATAATGAGAAAATACAGTTTATACTCTCATAAATTCAATTATCTTAAAATTTTACATTTTTCCTATCACAAAAGTCACTTATCAAAGTAAATCTTGTAAAACAGTCAAAATCTGTCAGTTATCTTACCTGTCATCATCAATCAATCATTTTTACTTATAATATTTACTTTGTCAAATGCCAGCCCATCAAAATATGCACTAGAATTTAAATAGGAATTAATTTTATTATAGCCGTCGGATGTATTAATATATCTTCTTATCCTCTAATATATCCCATTAAAATCAGGACTATCTATCCTGATATAATTCCCTATCAATCAGTTCTGAATTTTAACTCCAAAATATCAATAAATTACACCTTTTCAATTCCTAATTCAGAGTGTGTGCTGCTAATATGTGTACCAATTAATTATCACATACCAATCAACTATCACTAGTTCAATAGCTGCTTTTATCAATTTTTCAATTCGCCCTTTTTGGTTTGTATTCTGGACCTTGCATAGCATCAAGAACAGCATTAGAATTCCATTGGAATGTCAGTGCTTTGACAGTTTGTTATGTTTCCTTTGACCATTCCGTTGACCACGCACACATCTTTTATAAAAAGCTGGAATTTTTGGTGGTGGAACTTGAAAATCTCCATCACATGTTATTCAAACTTAGTCATAGCTTCTTTCTACAAAGTTTAATAGGGAATTGGTAATGAGAGAAATGAAAAGTCATCCACACCCTTGGTTTCCCATTAATCACATCTCCATTTCCTCTCACTTGAGCTGGGAATTCTTGATGAGTTCGAAAGTTCCCGCAATATTAACTTTCCCTTAATCATACTCAGTTCCAGTGCTTGTCCGGGGATAGATGGTTGGACAATTCAAACCACCCTTGGTTTCCACTTTCCACATCTAATCTCCCCATAATTGTGCGGAACTGAAAGTTTCCCAGAACCTTTGGTTTTCAGTTGATTAAACCCCATTTGACCGTATTTGTGTGGGTATTTACAGTGCGGAGGATGGAAAGTTTCCCCAAAACATTTTGGTTACCACTGAGTTATAATGTGGGGAACAACATTTGTTTCTCATCGATCAGTTTTCTCTTGTGCTGGAGCTCACAACTGATGTTTCCATTGAACATGCTCCATTTCACCCTACCTTTGCTTGTTTTTTAAGGAGTGTGAAGTGAAATGTTCCCCAAATCATGTAGTTTCCAGGCGCAGAACTGAAAATTCCACACAAATTTTGGTTTCCCCTTGATCACATGCCATTTTAATGTACTTTGGCATGAAAATGGCGGTGCAGAAAAGTTTATTTTTTGTATTGGAGTAAAATGGTTGGATATAAAAATCTTTTAAAATTAGAGATAAAAATTAGAGAGAGTTAACCATCTTAGTTAAAAAAACTCTTTAAAGTTAGAGAAAAGTTTTATTTCAACTAAAATCATTAATCGTCCATCAAACGTTAAATGTTCTGGGGGAAGTTTGAAATAAAAAATAAAATTAATAAAATTTCCTTGACTAAATTCCCAGTCTTCAAAATTATTGGTAAAAAAAATTCTTAAATACAAGTTACCACCAATTCGCATTTTCAATTAGTTTTACTGTATAGATACGGTCTTTAATTAAATTAGAATGTTATCCCAATCCTTTGGCTCCACTTGACTTTGCACGATTCATCCTTATCATTGAATGTCGCTTTAAGTGTCACCGTCCTTAAAATATTCTATATCCATGCACCATTTCCACGCAATTTTAGTCGAAATTGATGATGATGAAACTTCAAAGTTACCAAAACCATTGTTTCCCCATTGATCACGACGACAAACCTCCGCACCCTTCCTTGACAAGAGGTTTACAGTCGGAAAACGTAAGACTCATGAAATAAAAAGTAAAGTTTAAATTATGTTCCAGTTTTTCTTATTTTATATTACAAAATTTCTATCAGCTCCAATCTTTTATACACAAAACTCATAAATAATCATTTGAATATTCTTTTAATTTCTTAATTTTGAGAATTTTTTTTATAAATTTTAAATTTCTAAAAATTCCCACAGCTAACAAATAGGTGAAAAATTTCTAATGTAAAAAGAGATATTTTAACTTTATATTGAGAGAATATATTGAGAGAGAAACTGTTACAACCGTAGATGTCAGAGATTTAAGTAGTGTTGACGTGCGATAGAAAAACTGTTTATCCGGTTTAGAAATAAACAATGTGTAGGCGAAAAGATGGAAGAGCTGGAACAGACGGCGGAGATCAGTGACTAGCCCCCGCTAGTATGATCCAACTAGACTGACGCTTTAACTGGCTTTTATACTATAGCGATACCACTACACAACAGAAACTAATCTCTTAGTTATTTTTCTCTAACCACTTCTTCCATACAACCCTAAAGATCACCATATTTTTATGAGGTTGATTAAAACAATAAGAAAAGATAAGTGATCAGGTCAATTAACATAAGCTAAGTTTTGAATTACTTTTAGAAATCTTGCATTTTGAAAGTTGGTATTTTGTTGTTTGACATTTAGAAAGTTGGCATTTTGTCACATGCCATTTTGAACTTTTACATTTGTATTTGGCATATTTCAAGTTGGCATTTTTTAAGTTAGTATCTTAGCGTTTGAAAATTTGTAAGCTGGCATCTTGTCGTTTGACGTTTTTAAAGTTTGCATTTTGTAGTTTGACGTTTTGAAAATTAGCATTTCGGAATAATTTGTTACACGCTTAGATTAGAACTTCCTGCCATTTTTGGACAAAATTTGAAAAAATTTCAAAATGTCGATTTTCATAATGTCTAACTTTAATAATAGCATTCCCACTCTCACTCATTCCACTCACTGATTGGCATCTTATCAGCTTCTACTATTAAAAGGTAGAAGGTGATAATCATTTAGAATATAACTAATTACCCTCAAACTTTTATTAATTACCCTAGAATCCCTTCAGAACATATAGGTTGACGACATAATCAAAGAGATACAAGGTATTAAAATGTGTTTGACATTTTTCAAGTTGAAATTTTGTCACTTGACCTTTTTAAAGTTGACATTGGTGTTTCGAAATATTTAGGTAAATCCCCCCTACATTTGACTTCCGATCATTTTTGGACAAACTTTGAAAAAACTAACTGAGACTCTAGAGTCCAACATAACGCACTTAAACTTCTCTTTTTAGTACTTATCCCAGATGTTCTCTAGCAAGATAAATTTTAGCCGTTAAGCAAGACTCTAGACTCTTCGCTTTAACACACTATTTTACTCATAATCTTCTCTGTTTTATTCTGTCCGCATGTCTAACATGATCTAAGAAAAAAGTTGGAATTAGATGAGCTAGAGAGTGTACTTTCTTAAGAGAGTACACTGTCTTTCTTCGTCTGCCGCTGTATGGTTGTTGTAGTTTGTGTCAGACATCATCAGGGGCTTAAATACATTTTTATGTCTCTTTTATTTTACCGCACTTCCACCTTTTGGTTCTCTATAATTTTATCGCACTTCCAAACATTAATTTTAAAAATTCATTTTAACCTCCAAATGTCTTTTACCGTAATGCCTTTTACCGTATACTGTCTTTCTTCGTCTGCCGCTGGATGGTTGTTGACACATCACGAACATCCCACCTGTCAATTCCCGCAAAATATAAACCATAATTTTTTAATTATGGAATGATTAATCACCCTAATTAATCATGATTAATTACCCCAAATCAAAAGGTAAACTGTCCTTTGGCCACACATCGCCCCTTTATTAGTCTTATAATAATTATCAGTTTTTAACAGTGGAAGATTAAACATCTAAATAGACATTTCGAAGTGTGGCATTTTGTCACTTGACATTTTGAAATTTGACATTTTTAAATAATTGGTTAATTCCCCTCACATTCTGACTTGCGTCAACTTTGCAAATCATTTAAAATTTTTTGCATAATTTTGTAAACTTTATTTCTCCGCATTTATTTTTATTCAATATATTTTTTATTTTTTTCATTTTTTAATTAATTATCAGACTCAAATATTCCATTCCTAGACTGAAATTCACAGCATACGAAATTTATAGAAGATTTTAAATTCAAAATTCCCTCCAATATGTATTTTGAAGTTGACGTTTTGAGATTTGCATTTTGTCGTTTGCAAAATGCAAATCAGGTGCTTTTAAAAATTTTTAAAGGTGCTTTTAATTTTAAAAGGTGCATTTTTAAAGGTACTTTTGTCGCTTGACATTTTGAAAATTGGCATTTTGTCGTTTGACATTTTAAAAATTTGCATTTTGTCGTTTGACATTTTGAATGTTGTTATTTGGTCACATGACCTTTTTGAAGGTTGGTATTTTGTCATTTGACTTTTTAAAGGTTGGCATTTTGTCACTTTACATTTTGAAGAGTTGGCATTTTTAAATTTGACATTTTAAAATAATTGCTTAGTTCCCCTTACATTCTGACTTGCGGCAATTTTGCAAATCATTTAAAATTTTTTGTAAAATTTTGTAAACTTTATTTATCCGCATTTATTTTTATTTAATATATTTTTTAATTTTCATTTTTAATTAATTATCAGACTCAAATATTCCAGTCCCAGGTTGAAATTCACAACATACGAAATTTATAGAAGATTTTAAATTCAAAATTCCCTCAAATATGAATTTTGAAGTTGACGTTTTGAGATTTGCATTTTGTTGTTTGCCATTTTGAAAGTTGGCATTTTGTCGCTTGACATTTTGAAAGTTGGCATTTTGTTGCTTGACATTTTAAAAGTGATATTTCGAAATAATGAGTTAAACCCTTGCATTTGCACTTCCGGTCATTTTGGACAAACTTTGAAAAAATGAACTGAGACTCTAGAGTCCAACATTTCGCACTATTTCGCTTTTAAACTTCTCTATTAGTACTTATCCCAGATGTTCTCTAACTACCGACCATTTTCGATTACCCACCCAGATTTTCTTAAAGGTACTTTTTATTTGAAAGCTGTCATCGCCCTTTACCTTCAAAAGTAATTAATCATTTTAAATATGATTAATTGCCCTCCTTAATTACCGATGACCCTCTTCAGTAGGTGTAGTTCGGCGGCATAATTAAATATAAAAGGCATCAAAAGGAGTGAATTTCTGGAGGAGAGCGATTTGGGTTGTTCCAAAAAAGGATGATTAATGGGCTTAAAACCCCTTTAATCCCATAGGATTGTCGGCAAAATCAAAGGAAAATACCCCCTCTATAGGATGAGGTTTCATTTGACAGGTGACCAAATGAGGTGAGCGATTTGGGTATGTGGAGCGAAAAGGGTAGAAGAGCGATTTGGGTATGTGGAGCGATTGGGGCATAGTTAACTACTGTCGGGCCATTTTGGCAACCCTATTTAAAATATTTATTCATGTGATAATGAATTTTTTAAAAATAATATTTCAAAAAATAAAATATTATTTTGGCAGAAGTCAGCAAAATATTTTTTTATTTTTGGTAGAGCCACCAAAAAGATTTTATTTTATTTTTGGCAGGGCCACCAAAAAGATTTTTTAGCAACGTTGGATTGGTACAAATTAAGCTTAATTTAGCTAGAAAAAATTTTCTCTCTTAATTATTTTATTTCTAAATACATAAAATTTAAGAATTAATTCACCAACTAATTTTGAATAAGCCGAGTTCCACGAGAATATTCACATGGTTTTTATATTTTAATTTAAAAAAAGAAAAAGATTCAAGTTCTCTAACTTAATTTGAATCTATTTTCACGTGAATATTCAATGATTTTTAAAGCATATTGGGTTTTTTTCAAAGTTTTTATTCGAACACAAAATATTTTTTTCATTTTCTTAATAAAATATTTAATGAATACTTAAAAACAGGGCTCCGATCAGTACTTATTTTAAAAGTACTGTCATAAAAATCGACATCGTTTCTCCAGAATGAAAATGACTTATTTGGGAGTACGTCAATTCAGATGGACTTTTTGGTTAAAAATTAAATTTAATCTCCAAATTTGTCAAAATTTTACCTGCGGAGCGAGAAAGAATTTTTTTGGAGAGAAATATGATAGTCTTAAAAAAGAATTAAAGAAATGATTAAGATTAAATAGAGTTGCTCGAGATCGAGATTTTAGAAAAAATCCGAGACCGAGATTGACCGAGACTCGCATGACCGAGACCGAGACCGAGATGCAAAATTTGACCCGAGACCGATATCGAGATCCGAGATAAACCGAGATTCTTCAAAACTTTTTTTATCCACCAAATCCCAACCAAATTAATTAAATATCATCTAAATCATCATCAAAATCACCCAATGAGTCTTGGAAAATATTGTTTCATCATAAGAAAAGCGTAAGTAGAAAATCTGGCTTCTTGGCCTTCCAAAATTCTCAAAATTTTTGCCCGAGCGCTGAAAAATTGAGTCTTAATTATGTCCATTTTTACGTTTCCCAGAGACTGTACCGGATGCCCCTCTAAATCCTCTGATATCCATAATTTAGCGGTTAAAAAAGATATCGAAGGATTTGGGATATTTGATCAAAGCTTTGAGTTAGGTATTTAACCTAAATTTTGATTCATCAGATCTCTAAAGATTTCCACTCACTACAGTTATTTCGCCTTTTCGTCTTTCGCCTTTTTTTTGTCTTTTTCCTTGTTTAATCTTTCGCCTTTCATGTTTTGCTTTTTAAAATCTGTTTCGGCACACCCCTGGTGTGTGCATAATACTTCGCTACACGATGGCCGTGCTTCGCTGCGGTCGTGCTCGCTTCGAACGCGGTGACAGTAGCGAAGCGGCGGCCTCCGCAGCAGCAAAAACCTTTTTCCGCAAAGGTTTATGTGTATTCGGCCGCGCCTATTTGTCCTGCTCCGCTCTCAAGACAACTAAATTAAAATGAGTCACAACAATATGACAATAGCGAAATTTTAAATATTTTGTCAAAATAAAAATAAATCTCAAGAACGTCAATCTTTAGGGGTGTATACTGATCTCGGATCTCGGCGAGATTAAGTGCCGAGAATCTCGTCTCGGTTAGGTGGTCTCGTCTCGGCAAAACCGAGACCGAGATTGGAAAATGACCGAGATTCTCGTCTCGGTCTCGGTCGAGATATCGATCTCGCGCAACTCTAAGATTAAAGAATTAAAGATTAATTTTAAAAAATAAAATTATTTTTAATTATTTATTCACATGATTATAAGTTTTAAAATATTTTATTAATTAAATATTTTTGCCGCTAAAGCAAAATAAATTTTTTGTCAAGCTAACATAAAATCTTTTTATTTTTGGCAAAGCCAACAAAAAACTTTTTTCGGTACGTTGGATTATACAAAATGATTTAATTTAGTTAGAAAGAAATTTTTTGGTAAAATATTTTTTACAAAAAATTAATTATTAATTCACTAGTTTTAGATATATCGGAAATATGTTTGATTTAAAGAATAGAAAGATAAAGCAGGCGAACTTTTAAAACGCTTACTAGGCGGAGGTTTAAGATCGAAGCAAAATCAGTCATGAATTTTTGTTCTATTTTCAGAACTGCGATTATTAGAAAAATATAGTCACGAACCAGTTGTTTAATCTAAAGTAGCGCGAGGTCGAGATTTTTCGAAGAAATCGAGGTGCTGATCCTGAGACCGAAAGACAAATTTTATTCGGTTTAGGCCAATCCCAGGATCTCATGTGACGTAAAAAGAGGTTGACTTTAGCAAAATCAAAGTCAAGGTCGAAAAATTGGCCTCGACAGTGTCTACAACAGGGGTGTGCCGAAACAGATTTTAAAAAGCGAAAGACGAAAGGCGAAAAGGCGAAAGTCGATTTAAAAGGCGAAACACGAAAGACGAAAAGGCGAAAGTCATTTTAAAAAGCGAAAGACGAAAGGCGAAAGACGAAACACCAAAAAAGACGAAAATAAGGCGAAAGACGAAAGGCGAAAGACGAAACAACTGTAATGAGGAAAAATCTCTAGATATCGGTTAAACTAAAGCTTTGGTTAATTACCTACTTTCAAATCTTCTATCAAATTCTCCAAATCTTGCGATTTCCTTCTTAACCACTAAATTATGGATATCAGAGGATTTAGAGTGATTAAGGAGGATATCAGAGGATGTGTATGGAAAAATTCAAATTTAAATTTTTATTTTTTCCTATCATTGGAAATCGACCATCGTTAATTGTGAATATAGTTAAAAGATTTTGGGAAATCCCAGGATATCCAAATCCGTTGTCCGAACAAGAATTTCGATATCCGGATCCGTAACCAAAATTTTTAATAAAATACTGAGGCTTACCCAAGTAGAGAAGTATCCCCTTTATCAGCGCCGCAGGCGAAAATTTTGAGAATTTTGAAGGTCCTTAAGTCAGATTTCTTCCCTTTTTGCGCCGCAATAAATACCACTATGCTGGAAAATAACCTGTATTAACTTTTTAAGCGCCGCAGGCAAAGATTTTGAAAATATAAGGTGTCTAAGGCACGGAAAATTCACTTTTTAAATTAAAAAAATAATTTTTTCATAGAAAAATTATAATTATTCTATTCATAATATATAAATAAAAATCTTGTCCCTAAATTTGGTCCGAACCTAACAATAATAAAATGGTCGCTAGTCGGAGTCAAACAACTTACCACTCAACCATCAATTACTTTATTAAGTTAAAAGAAAATTATATATTTATCCCCACTCGTCCTTAGTTTTTCTCTTTCTTTTCTTC